TATGTGAGCTTTCAAACTACCTTTTAGTACTCTATAGTAGTACAGCATCTTGTTTGCAGATGCTCTGGTTGAGAGCAACTGATGGAAGGGGGAAGGGACCCAAAGCTGACTGACCTAATTGCTGTGTGGATTGAGAGGCTGGTGAAATCATTAGTTTCTTTAATATGTTTTCTCTCTATACTATAATAAAGATAAATATTGATTGCTAGAGCAATATTGATTGTAGGGGTCACTGCAGATGGCAGCTGCATGATTTGCACAAATATCTCCCACGTACAGCATTGCTTATTTGCATGAGAATGCAGTTTCACCATCCTCATGTGTTGTAGACTGTTCACTTGCCTTATAGGAGCATCTACCCAAGCTATATATATCAGTGATTAGCAGTAAGATATGAAACAAAGGACTGAAACAGTTCATCTTCTTAATATGTTTTCTGTGTGTGTCTGTCTGCTGTGGGTAAGTGGAGTTCATTGTCCTAGCCATGCAAAAAGAAGTGCAGGACACAAGGGACCTGCCGTAATTACACTGCAACATCACCACCTCACTTGGGAATATCATCCAGCTGCATTGCATGCCCGAGACCGATGCTCCTTCCCACACCCACTGACCTAGACATTGAACATGCCAAGTCCCTTCATTCAGGCCCGGATGCCTTCCTCCAAGCTCCCAGCTTTGGGTCATCAGGGACACAGTGTCCCCACAGAATGGCTTCAGCATCTTCTCCTGAGCTGAACCTGCCTGGTGGGATCCTTGTCCACTTGTGTGAACTGGAAAAGGCCCCTCCAAGTGTGGGCCAGGTTCGTGAGGAGTGAGGAAAGTTGCCTACCACAAACATGGTGCCCATGGCAGGGCACAAATCCTATACTCAGCCAAGGAGGAGTCCTTGGGGTGCGTGGGACTGAGCTGCAGGAAGTAGCAGGGGTATTTATGTCCCTTTTTATCACTGGTGCAAACCCCTGAGCGTCCCATTTCAAGATTAGGCACCTCCTGCCAGAGATACTGCTGCCTCTCTTCTCCACCTGCAACCTCCCGGAGGGAGGAAGGGGAAGGCAGAGGAGCAATCTGCAGAGATGGCCTCCTCACCTCCTCAGACACTGCCAGGCTGCAGGCAAAGCACTCTCTCCTGAGCACGTTATATGTCTCCGTGTGTCTGTCTTAGAGCTAGCAAACTGCATCTTATTCTGGGCAGTGCTGCTCTTTCAGACTGCTGCTGACTGACCTGCTGATATTGAAATTCAAAGGAAAAGTATGCATATTTAACCCCAATTCATCATTTTGATTTTGATTAACTCTACAAGTCAGAGGTTTGCAGGCTTTAATCTTGTTTCAAGAAAATACTCCTGTCCTCTCTTCTCAGCATTTTCCAACAGGAAATTCATCAGAAGGGTTTTTCCTATTATTTATCTCCTTCCACTTACTTACTTGGACACATTGTGGACCTCTGAAATAGCTGCCCAGTATCTAACCAAACCATGGCTTGTCTAGTGTAAAGAGTGCTCTTATTTCCTCAGTGGCCCATAAGGAGGAGATTAATACTGAAATCCAGGTTTCTGACGTGTTTCTGCCCTGACACTAAGCCACTTTAGCAGATGAGCAGGCACTCCATTTGGTGAGTACTATTTATATACAGTGAGTGAGTATTTCATAGATACTTTTTGGAAGACCTTAGAAATACACCATGGTTCAGAATGTTATGCTTCATTCTTCCTTTCCTTTTAAGTATATCTCTCGGGGTGTTATGTTGAGTAGCCCCGTCTTACAAAATCAATTATTCCTTAGCCAGCTCAGAAATAAAACCCAAAGTGAGCAACACCAAATGTCTGATTTACCAATAGATTGCAATCCAGTGCTAAAGAGCATAGCCACTGCCCTGCTTTAAATATTCACGAAGCCCACTGGTGCAAAGTGCATTAAAGGTGGGAATAATGCCAGTAATACATGATCCTCTTAGTGACAAGAAGCTTTCACATATTAAAGTAGTAAGATGTTAAAGACTTTCAACTGAACAGTCTTTGTTTTTAACCTAGAGAAAGAGATTCACTAATGGAATGCCAAATTGCATTTACTCTCGTGATATTAGACTGCAGAATAGGATAATAATACATGTGTGCTTTACCATGCTGTGGAAACCCTGTTATTACAGTGGGTTCTTTTCTGCCTTTTCTTTGTACTTTCCAGAAAATATTCACACGCATATCTTATGCCTTCGAGTAGTCTTCTACATGACAAACCCTCTACCAGAATCCCAGAAGTCTAGCCATTAACAGATTGGTTTTACACAAATGAGATTTAAAAATAACGGTGAGACAGTACAATAGCAGAATGTAGCTGACTGAGAAGTGGCAACGAATAACCGAAAGGAAAAAAAAAAAAACACAACCACGAAGAAAGTTAAACCAGAGACAAGGGACTGCAAAATAACAGACTGTGGCAATGCAGAATAATGTTAATTGTCGCTTTAAATCATCAGCAGCCCAACCACATCTGCTATCACACCTGTGCTCTCTTCTCCGATCTACTCTGGCACCCTAGAAACATTAGGCAAACAACTGGCCTTGTATCTCTGGCTCTCTGTGGTCTGGCTCCGTTACCACCTTGCATCCCTCTTACCTGGAATGGATCAGGTACTCACTTTGCACCCTCAAACTGTTTCTGATTGATAGGGGACACTGCTGGTGCTGGGCTTGTCACCCTGTAACAACAGGTCCTGGGGACGCTAGGACCCACTGACTCCATTTGGATTTTACAAACCTCATCAGTCAGGTGAGATAGCTAAAAAAGCCCTGCTTACACATGAAATTTGATCCGCATAAAAGTAGTAATCAAATAATAAACTGCAATTTCTTTTCCCACTTAATCTAAGGACATTTTCTGCACAACAAATCTTGGCAGGGGGAGTGGGGGAATATGTCTATCTCGTGCCAAACACGGAAATTCAATTAACGTACATTTGAAAGAAGGATCTAGGTCCCCCACACATAGTCCGCTTTATTCTAGAAATAAGAATAACAAAAAGCTAACACCCAGAAGGCTCATTTTTTAGAAAGACTTTTATCCAACACTAATCAGGGGGCAGGGACAGGAAAACAGGGCTCTGTTACGGCATATAAAGTTGTTTACTTCAAAGCAGACCTTTAACAGGCTTTAACACAACTTCGGGTTGAAAATCTGCTTTCCTGCCTTTTACAGTTTGTCTGGTAGCATCTTCCCAATAAATGCCCCTCCCTGCTTCCTGCCCTGAGAAGCGCCTTCCCCTGCAGAAAGACCGCCTGTCAATAAAGATTGAGAACTTCAGCTCCTGCAGTCATTACACTGCTCCGTATAAGGCAAGTTGTTTCAAAGGCGAGGAATTAGGTAGTACAAAAGCTGCAGTGGGAACATCACTGGGGTAAGTTAGATCAGGTTATTTTACCAAGCTATTTCTGGAAAAAAATAAACACTGCTACCCAGTGCTTATGATTAATAATGTTATCTTGTAGCTAATTTTATTCCTTGCCCCCCTCTTCTCCTGCCTTCCAATTTGAAAGTGCACTTAATTATGAAAACATGAGCACTAGACTGTGAATTTTGATATATTAATTTTACCATGATTTTGTTTCTACACTGCACCACCAAAACTCTCAAGGACAACTAGTCAAGGAGACAATGAAAATCCTGACATCTAGGGTAATTTTCTTAAGCAAAGTCAACTATAAGCAGTATCTTCCACACAAATCTCATTACATTACTGCAAACCTATAACCATGATGCATCTTGCTGCTGTTTTTCAATGCCACAATTTCTTATGATGACTGGAGCCAGAGCAAGGCCTCTGTGGTTTGTTTACTTGGTGTGTTTTTAAAGACTAGAAGTGGAGTTTATTAAAAATCTGGCAAGATATAACCAAAATGAGCACAAATGGATGACCATGACCATATTCCTAAGCTTCTTCACGGAATAGCAGAAATGTTCATAATTTCATGCCTGACCAGTAGTGCATGGATGCCTTGCCTGGATGAGGTCAGCTGCCTAACACTGGGCCCTATTATCTTGTTCACCATTCATTCATTCATTCATTGACTCTTCTCTGCTCCATTCCTATCGTTCAAGTTAAGAGTTTGGGCAATATTGCCTTATTGACGTCTCACTGCCCAGTCTCTGCATCCATCCTTTAGCTACCACCAGCTCATAGCTTCAGAAGCATCACCCAGACAACAGCTCTAACATTTGCATGATTATTTTGTTGTCTCTCAAAATTTGTATTAATTACTTAGATAAAAATAGGAGGCTTGGCATTAAGGCAGTGTTAGAAGTACAGCTCTGTGAATAGTGGCTTTTTTGATCTATTGGCTGTTCCAAAATCAGAATGAAATGATTAGTTTAAAGTTGGCTTAATATATGTTTGCATAGTTTCTAGGCAAAATGAAAAAAAAAATCTGAGTAGATAGAATTATTTCCCTTCAGTTTATGTGGTTAAGGTTTAAAATAATAAAAAAAACCTGAATGCTTTTGAAATCTCTTTTAAAAAATAAAACCATTTCCATTGAGAAAATCTCTAAATGTACACTGTAATTATTTCAAACATTTGATAGTTCGGTCTTCAGCAACGAGGAAAAAGCGAGACAGATTTCCCAGCGTTTCTAATGCCACACATGAATTAACATGATGATAATACTAATGATACTTTTTAACTGGAAAAGCTTTAGGTCAATTATTTTTCCCAATTCTATTTTTACCAAAGTATAAAGCTGTAAAACCCCAGATGGAATAACATAAGTTATAACAGCAACAAAATGGATAACTGTGTTTCTAGACTTTGTCTAAATTGTGCGTGTTCCAGAATTCTAAACCAGACTGTTTTATACATTTTTTCAGAGTAATAACCACCTCAATCACTGTGCGATGAATCTCTGGGTGCAGAAAATTGAATATCTAATATTTGTAATGCTTTCTAAACCACAGTACCTTTAAATAATACAACAGTCATTAAAACAGAAGAGTAGACCAAATTACTGTACCAAACATCCTCTGCATCTTCGTCACACTCTGCCCCAAACTGGCAAATGTCACAGGTCGATGTCTCTTTTTGATTGGTTTCACCTGAGCCTTCATTGACTGTTTGATGGAAAGCAGAAGAATATACATTAGTAAAGACAGCACTGTAGCAAAGCACTTCTCTCTCTCTAGAAAAATCTATTCACTGTGTCGACTTAATGCGGTGCTCACAAAGCTGATGGGTGGCCAACAGATAGTGTTTCTGAATGGGGCCAACACAAGAGATTTCCGTGTCGGTCTGTAATAAATTCCCTGAATTATGGAGTTAAAAGGGAAACTGGAGAAAGACCCTTCCTCTTCCTTTTCCACTTAAACAATGAGCCCTTCAAGATGCAGCTTGGGAAGGCTGTGTCACCACTGAGCTTCACTGCTTTGTTCCCTGGGAAAATAATGAAGGTGTATTGATAGCATCACACGCTGCCTTGTGTCCTTTACCGGTGAAGGCCTTGAGATGGACCCAAGGGGATGCTTTCCTTGAAAATGTTTTGAAATTACCTGCTATGTGGTGCAATTGAGTCCATTCCAAAGGCAAAACATTTTTCTCTTCAGAAGTATAGCTATGAGCCCCAAGGACTAGTTATCTCTGGCAGGAAAGATTTAGTGCTGTCCAGAGGAGGGGACGATCTCCAGCATAGGTTAAATTTGAAGCCTAGGGAAGTCAATGCCAATGTCTGCAATTGTATGAGGTCTATACCTGGCCCTTAAGTCAAAACCATGAAGGGACTAAGGGGAAAATAAAAATATGGGTGTAAAAGGACTGGAAAAAATATTGATGGCTGAGTACTGAAAGAGAGAAAGAGACCACCAAGGTAGGCACTAAGAAGAGGATTTGTTAAAAGATCCAAAAGAAACATTATCTACATTTGTATTAAAGTATATAAGCACCTTTTGATATCTTTCAAAAGATGCTGCTTTCTAGCAAGACACTGTACCTAGCGATATCTTTCTGCCAGTTACAGAATAATTAAACCAACCCAGACTTAAAGCATCAATCAGTTTTGACTGATGTTTTTATCTGCATGAACAGCCTCTGCAGTGTCATCCTTTCATTCCTCTCTTTTATTTGGAGTCAGCACCATGGTGCAGGCTTACTGCACATTTGGGTCCAACCTACCAAAGCTGGTGGACATGCTGAAGTGTGTTGGTAGCCCCAGTGACATTGGGGGCACAAATCACCTGCCTGATGTACATCCACTACATGCGACCGTTAACCCGGGTCTTAGCCATTAACCAGGTAATTCACTCAAGAAAGGACAAGTCCCAAGCTTTCACAAAGCTGTTGAAGGAGAAAGGGCTTTTGCCCCTAAAAGAGCAAGTGTGACCCCAATGCCTGTTTTTCAACAAACTTGCTTTCTTACCCTGGACAAATTATTTAACCTCTGTCATGCTTCCCACCACGTAAAACGGGAGTAATACCACTTTCTACCAACAGAGAATAAGGAAAAAAGTATATTAAAAGATTGTGGTATGCTTAGATACGACAGTAATATAGACCACACAAATACCTAAGGTAGATGGTTTGTCTAAGAAGTTTTTTCCCGAGGCTTAATATAGTCAAAGGAAGTGTTGGTATGTTTAGGTACGAGCTATGCTGCAGCAATTTCTTATCAGTCATGCTTGAATTTAGACTATATTAAACAGAAAAAATTCACCTATGATGAGCATTCTGATTATCCTAAAAGGAAAAAAAGAGGGTTTTGCCCTATTTGTAGAAGTTTGCTCACCTTTACATCCATAAAATTAAGCCCAAAGGGGAAACTCAGAAAACATATGCTAGATTTTTGTTCTACTGCATGTTCAGGCTTTGTAGGGAGGGTCTGAGCTGTGGTTTTTCTGTTTCCTTAAATGACTGTGGAACTCTTCAGGCTCACATTTTAGAAGAGCCAACGTACAAGGGTGGACAAGGTGTCCAAGTGCCATGTCCTCACCCCGTCAGCATCTCCATGTGCCGCCCGTGTGACCCTGACCCAACAGCACTGGGAGGCTCATGCTGCTGCACAGCTCCTCCCCACTTCTCCGCAGCTGCAACTAGGCCTGTGTTTTCCACTAAGTTTCATTTACATTTTAAATATAGAAATTTCTTTTACTGAGGAGATAACTTTGACAGCCAATCTTGGCAGGGGATTTCCAGTGGTTAAGATATTAGACAGGACTCTGTAACAAATGACTGCATGCAAAGGACAATGGGACTTATGGGCAGAAGACCTCTTACGGCAGCCGAGCATTCCCCACCTAGCAGGAATATGACAATTGCTCTCAGTTCAGGAGGGTGAGAATATATTCTTTACGTGAAAGAGTTATAATTTCTTTGTTTTGTTATTCTGCAAATCACTTCCCTTGTATTTTTTTTTAATTAAAACATATGCCCTATTTTTTTGCCTCCTTGTAATATTTCTATTTGTAACTGTCCAGCAGGTGTGGTTTGACCAGGGACTTCACACGATTCCACATCACAAGCTGAGTAAAACAGCTACTTAAGTCATTAAAGGAAGGCATTTGAAAGATTGAGCATGTTGAAGAGAAGTAACTGATTTAAAGAACATCTACACTAAGGCGCAATGCAGTTCCTAATTTCCACTACAAAATAATAGGTCGCTCCTTTGTATTTTTCTGAAGCAGCTCTGCATCCAGTGCTCCATAGTCAATGTGCACACTGTCATTAAATGTCCAAGCGTGCAGCGGTCTTGATTAAAAAAGACAGCTTTTTATATCTCTCCCTCTTTTTAAAATTCCTGTTTTCAGTAACCATCCATAAAATCATTCTTTACATTTCCTTAAGGTGTGTTTTCTCTCCCTACACAAACATACGTGCTGGCGTATGCACCCATGCCCAGGACTGACACACACCGGGGCTTGTTTTCTCCATGCTGTGCAGATAAGTGCTTTGATAAATCTGGACATCTTAGAAAGAGTTATTTTCTCAACACTTCCTGCTGCTTTTTAGCTTGAGGACTAGTGGATGCTCATTTTCTAAGGTGACTCTTTTTCCTTTTTTTCCTCACTGCACTTGCTGATTTGCACTTGCTGATTTGCATACCCCTCTACATGCCAACTAAAAAAAATGTTAGCAAAAATAATCTAGTTTCTGGATTCCTCTTCTAAAAATAAAAGGAATACAATTCTTTTTTTCTCATGCACATTACGTAGTTCTCATATTAACAACTGTTGAGGTTAACACCAAGACGCTGTAAGAACATAGTAGGGCTCCAGGGATGCTAATCACTGAAGCCCACCACTTATTACTCACGCAACTGAGAAATGTTAAGCTGCAAGTTCCTATTTGTATTAGCAAGATTAGCAACTTCCAGAGTTCAAGGAAATGGGCTAACATGGGTTAGAAGGTCACTAACATTATCTGAAAGTCACTTCAGAGACTACCTCAATGTCCTAAGCAATATAAATTCTTTAGCTGGGAAGGCACTACACACAATTTACAGAGTCAATGGACTGTGGCAACCACAACAGCTCCTGTTTTAATCATTTGGTCCTTTTCTGGCATTCTGACTGCACTCAGATCAGATAGTTGTGATTTCAAGAATATCCATATTGCTTGCAAGTACTACAAGAAAGAAACCATTTTTGAGACATTTTACTTTGTTTCCATAGCTGAAAAAACAGACTGAAAGTACCATCAGTAGATTGGTCTGACTCTGTGCTTATCTCCTGTAATATCAGGAGAAAACTAAAAGCCCCAAACTGTCCCCTCGCCGTATACCCCTCTACTTTCTTTTTACACTTCAGTCTCTTTGAGTCAAGAGTCTTCTGTAGGTGCTACGATCCCAAGAAATCATACTATGACTTTATCCATACAGCTTTGCAGACTCATGCTCTACTAGGAGTTGATGACTGATGATTTAATGGTTTCAACAAATGGACGTCAAAATCTCTGCGCTCGAGCTTCTGGATAACCCTTGCTCAGTGTCTTCCCAAGATGCCTGACAAGTGTCAAAGGCAGGATGGAAAATAAACTCTTTGCAATTTCCAGAAAATCAGCTCCAATGGGATGGTTGGGAATATGCACAGCTCCTCACAGTCTTGACCTGATCTACAAAATGTCACCTAATTCCTAAGCGACACAAGGGACATGCACATAACTTGCCTGATGGACCATACTGTGAGGAGTAAATGGAAGGGGAAAAAAAAAGGTGAGTGAGCCAAGAGGGTGAGAGGCAATTAGGTGGCAACATCAGCTAAACACAAATCTCTCAATCTCTCTTTGCTAAAACACATCTGAAGGTATCAGGGCAAACTCAAGACAGCCTCAATTCAGTTTTCATGTGGCTTTGTAGGAGTACTAACACTATTATAATAATCCTAATTCAATATAGTTTAACTATACTGGAGAACACAACAAAGACACAGTATAAAGTGTCATCACCACATGCTTGATATATAAAAATATACAGAAATATGACTACAATGAATTGTTTTGACTGTTTTTATATTATGTAGTCTTCCTTTGATTGATGTGATTAGATGTGTGCTCATCACAATCCCTGATTCTGACTTGACTCCTCATGGTGGGACATCTTTGCTATTGTTGAAAGAAGAATTTCAAACAAAGCCTGTTCTAGCTCATCTTAACAGGATATCCACTGGTTTTTAGCTATAAAAATCTAGGTAATAACAAAAATCACATGGAGATGAGGGTTGATGGCCATTTTTGTATTTTGGAACGAACGTCAATGTGCAAATTAAAATGTGGAGGAGAAGAATGCTCTTTAGAGCAGCTGAGGTGATCTCACCACATGCTTCAGTCCTAACAGGAGTGCTCTGGGCAGGTGACAAGGTGAGTGGATGAAGCGAGAAAGCTCTGAGAAACCAGGGCACAGCAGCCAGTAGAATTTACTAAATGTGTTGGAACAAACACTACTTGCACCTCTATCAAATGGCTAAAAACACCTCACAAACTCGACCAATAAAAGCCCACATGCTGCAAGCAACCTTACTGTAATCAATAAGTCTTCTTTCCTGAAAGCATTAGCTCAGTCAAAACCTGCAAAGTGAGAAAAATGAAGGGTGCGAAGCAGGGGGTCAACTCACGAATGACTCTGCTCTCA